AAGTTTTTTTTTTTTTTTTTTTTTTGAGACAGGGTCTCACTGTGTAGTTGAGATTGACCTGGAACTGACTATGTAGCCCCGGCTGGTCTCAAACTCACAGTGATCCTCCTGCCTCATCCTCCCAACTGCTGGGATCACAGGCTTGAGCCACCACACCCGGCCTCCAAGTTTTTGATATTATGAGTTATGCTGCTAAAAATATGAGTGCGTGGATCATTGTAATATGATGTCTTTAACTCTTTCAGGAAGATACCTAGAGGAGAACATCTGGGTCAAATATAATTTCTAGTTTTAGTTTTTTAAGAATTCTCCAGACCAGGGATGTAGCTCAGTGATTCCGCTGCCACCCTCACAAGTACAAGGTCCTGAGTTCAATTCCTGGTACAAAAAAAAAAAATTTTTTTTCCATAGTGGTTGTACTAGCTTACATTCCCACCAACAACATAGAAGGGTTCCTTTTTCCTCAAAGCCTCTCCAGCACTTGTTATTATTTGATTTCCTGATGACAGCCATTCTTTCTGAAGCAAAACTGAATCTCAGTGTTGTTTTAATTTGCATTTCTCTAATGGCCAGAGATGTTGAACATTTTTTATGTATCTATTGGCCATTTGTATGTCTCCTGAGAAGTGTCTATTCATTTCACTTGCCCCTTTTCTTTCTGGTGGGGCAATTTGGAAATTATTTTTCTTGACAGAATTTTAAATTTTAATTTTATCTAAATTTTTATTAGTATTCATTTTTTGATTGTATCTTTTATTTTGGCAGGGTCTAATTTTTTGAGTTCTTTATATATTCTGGATATTAGTCCTCTAAGGAATAGCTGGCAAATGTTTTTCCCATTCTGTTGGTTGGCTCTTTACTCTACTAATCATTTCCTTTACTGTGGAGAGCTTTTTTAAAATTTTTGTACCGGGGACCGAACTCAGCACCTTACACTTGCCTGGCAGTGCTACTGAGCTAAATTCCCAGCCCTGTTTATTTGTTTTTTGAGACAAACTGGCCTCAAACTAACTCTGTAACTACGAACTTGCAGTGATTTTCCTGCCTCAGCTCCTGAGTGCTGGGATTACAGATGTGCACCACTATGCTTGGCTCCAGAAGCTTTTTTTTTTTTTTTTTTTTTTGTACTGGGGATTGAACTCATGACCTTGTGCTTATGAGGCAGGCATGGTGACACTGAGCTAAATCCCCAGCCCTCCAGAAGCTTTTTAATTTGATATGATCCCATGTGTTGATTCTTGATGTTATTTCTTGTCCAACTGGGGTTCTGTTCATAAAGTCCTTGCCTACGTCTATGTCTTCAAGAGTTTTAGCTATTTTGTCTCCCAGCAGATTGTTTCATTTTAGTATTTAGATCTTTGATCCATTTTGGTTTAGTTTACTGCATGGTGAGAGACACTCTAGGGTCTGTCCCCAGCATGTGGACACCAATTCTCACAGCACAGTCTGTTAGAGCGGCTGCCTTTCCTCCAGCTTGTGCTTTTGGCCCTTTTGTCACCCACAGGAAGATTTGGTACATTGTAAATGTTCCCTAACCATTTGGCTGAAAGAATTGACTCATGTGACCTCATCTGATTTCCTGCTGTGCTTCTGCAGGTCGCTCTACACAGGCAGAGTGTCTTCTCCAGGCAGCAGGGTGCATGACACGCATGAGGAAGCTTGCTTTAGAGTCGCCCTGGATTATGCCAGGTGAGGGGGCCCTTGGGTGTGAACATTTACTAGGGTCCTCCGAAATCTTTCTAAGATGCACTTGTCCCATAGCTTGGTGTCATAATTCAAAAATTCACATACAAAGATAGATTTTCAAAATAAAAACTAAATTCAGAGGTGCTCCATCAAGAAATTGGGGAGCACCCTCTTCACAATTCTTTTGAGCAGTTCTGGTGATCTCTGTGTCCACTTCCTGGAAGAATGACCTGGTGTGACTGCCCACAGGTCCCACAAAGTCCCCTGCTGGCCATCCCTGGGTGCAGAGAGGGGCTGACTTTGAACCTCTCCCCCCGCCTCCTTTCTGCTTCTCCCAGGCTTGTCTCTGTGTCACCTGAGGGGAGAGAGGTGGAACGAGGGCTGCACCCAGTCCTCCACAGCACACGGCAGGGGGATGTGATGCCCAGTGAAGGCCCCCAGGCTGAACAGGTGGTCTAAACAGGTGGCATGGGACCGTGGCCCACCAGGACCACACGTGGACCTGGGCACAGGGTAGGGACTAGAGTCGCTCTGTGGAGGACATGGACACTACCAGGCCTTGAATGTCCTCCACCTGGGTCAGAGCCAGCTGGCCATGGATGAGAGCTGTGAGCTACTTTATCCTGTGGGAGTCAGAGATTGTGTCTCAGCAACGGGACACATGACGCGATACAGACTCTGTGCTGAGTGAAATAAGTCAGGAACAAAAAGACGGACACCAGATGACCATTCACATGAGACCCCAGGGTTCAGATCCAGAGGCAAAGGTCAACGGCTGGATGTAGGAGCTGGGGAGGGGATGACAGTTTGTGATGAAGACAGAGGTTTGTCCTTGTAAGATGAGAACATACTACAGATGGGTGGGAGCGATGGTTGCACAACACTGGGCATGTGCACATTTTATGTGCATTTTACCATAGAACAATGAGAGAAACCAAGAAAATGGCCTCATAGGGCATCAGCTGGACAAGATTTCTGGTTCCTTCATGAGGTGCCTTCTCCTGAGACGTGGAAAGATTTCTCTGCTGACATCCTGCTGTTTAGTTCTGCTAAAGGGACCAGTAGCCACAACAGATGTGGGTGAGGACATCCCAGGGAGAACTGGACAGCTGGCCAGGCACCTGAAGGCCATGCAGCATGTGGGATGCTCTGAGTTTCCATAGCAAGCTGGATGTCCGTGTGGAGAGGCCAAGGGCTCAACAGGCCCTGAGACCAGGAGGTCCAGGGACAACATTATCCAGGGCTGCAAGGCTGGACAGTGTCTCCAAGACCCTTTAGCCTGCTCCAGGGCATAATAGGGGTCACTGTGCCAGAGAAAGTAGGTGAGAGCTGAGACTCCAAACCACCCAGCAGCTCCCGGAGGGAAGCCTGAGAAGTATGCAGCTGAACACATCCGCAGGGGCCAGGGGCAGCAGGGCTGCTGTGAGGTCTCGCAGGTCCTGTGGCCTCTGACCCTGGATTCCCCGGGCCTCTTTGCTGCATATTACACAACATTATGCTCAGTGGTAGAACAATGGTCTAGCATGGATTTGATCCCTAGCACCTTAAAAACAAGCAAAAGAAAAAAACATCATAATAGATGGAAAATGAAAAATGGAATTTTAAAGGCTGGATGTCTTTGTCCCCCATGAGTATACTGATGTCTTCATCCACACGAGATAAGAGGAGGTTGCCTTTGGGAGCAGATAGGATTGGCAACATAGGAAAGAGACCCCAGAGAGCTGTCTACAGCCTTTTCCACCAGAGGACACAGCAAGAAGCCCCCGTGGTGAACAGGAAAGTACTCTCACCTGACATGGGCTCTGCTGGCCTGGATCTTGACCTCTGATCTTCAGAACCAGGAAACCTCTCCTATTGCCTACAAGTCAACTGGGCTGGAACCTCTTATTACTGCAGCCTGAAGGGACTGACACTGACAGAGGAAATGATAGCAGCAGTATCTCCCCTGAGGGTAGAACTCGGATGCCCCATGGGGGTGCTCAGCACCCCTGACATGCACATACAGAAGGGCTTATGGTGGTAAATTTTAGGCTTTGTATTTTTTCCATGATTAAAACAAAGGCCACACAACTGAGACAAGGGGACATAAATTACCTGTAATCTGAGGGTCATGGATCCAGTATCCACGGGTCCTGTGCAGCAAGAGGGATGAAGTTTGGACAGCTTTGGGTGGGCTGTGTGTTCATGTTCAAATCAAAAGGATGAAAGGGAGAAAGAATAAATTCTAAGCCATGATGGCTGTAGAGAAGATGAGTTGCTAGGGTTGCAGAATGGGGCAGTGACTGAACAACGGACTTACTGTCCTAGGGCTGTGGGAGGCCGGAAGTCACAATGCGGTGTCTGCGGGGCTTGCTATCCTCAGGCTGGCAGGGGGATCTGCTCCACCCACTTCCCTGTTCCTGTCCTCTCCTGAGTGGATCTGTCCAGATTTTTCCTTTTTGTGAGGATGCCTGTCACCGCCACACATAGACCTCACTGTCATGAGAACTGATAGGTGAAGACCTCTTTTCCAAATCAGTCACCTTCTGAAGCATGGGTGGTCAGGACCCCAACATATCTTTTGGGGAAGACTCAATTCAGCCTATAACAGAAAACAAATAGGGAACACAAAGAAATGGAAATCCAGCCTATAATTAGGAGGCTGATGCAAGAGGACAGCAAGTTTAAATTCAGCCTGGGTAACTTAGTGACTTAGAGGTCCTGTTTCAAAATAAAAAATAAATGAAAGGACAGAGATGTATTTCAGTGTGAAGACCCTGGTTCCTCCTCAAGTACAGCGGGGAATAAAAAGCAGAATAACAAACAAATGAAAAGAAGGATTCAAGTAAATTGAAAGTGAAAGGCTAGAAAAAATATGCCAAATTGTATTCAAAAGAAAACTGATTATGATTAGAGAAGCAGCTAACTAGTGAAGAAACTTCCCACCAGAAGCATTGTAGGAAATGGCATTCGTTGCCTGTGGTAGCTGCAGTGAATGACTACAGACTTAGAGGCTTCGACGGCACGTGTGACCTGGTGTCTCTGGGTACCTGAGGACGGAATGGGGCCGATGGGTCCCAGACCAAGGTGCCAGGACGAAGTGCCAGGTGGTGGCAGCCCCACCTGGTGGGCAAGGAAGGGAACCAGTGGGCTGCCCTGCAAGAAACGTGTTCCCTTGGCAGACACAAATGGCTCTTGTTTGTCCATGTCCCACTTAAGCCTCTTGATGGTTGCTCTGGTGCTGGGAATCCCTGGAATCTGTCCCAGGTCAGCCTCTGGTCCTTCCCATGAAGGTGTGCACTCAATGCTCCCAGGGTGGGAAACGGGCTCAGGGCTTCCTGATAAATTCTGGGTGGGGAACAGCTTAAGGCAGGAGCACAGTCCATGTGTGTAGCAGCCAGTGGCATATGCGAGAGTGGGTGTCACTTAGGCTTTGGGCAGATGCTTGCATGTCTTGTTCAGAGGAAGTTGGGTGGGCAGACATCCCCCGAGTCCTCTGCTCTGGCCCCAGCTTGGCACCTGGGGTGAGGTAAGAACTTCAAGCTGTGTCCAGGGTTGACCATGCCAGGAAAGTCAGACCTGAATCCAGAGTGGAAGCTGAGGCAACGTGGAACCACACCGTGCTCCCAGGGGCTGTGGGAGGATCTGCTTCCTTGCCCCATCTATCTTCCAGAGGCCTCCTGCAGTCCTTGGCCAGTGGTCTCTCCACCTTTGGAGCTACTGAGGCTGGTCCATTTGCCTTTGCAGTGTGTCACTCTGCCCTTTTCTTCCCTCTTCTCTTGACACCAAGGACCTGGAGATGTGCTGGGCCAGGTGTCCAGGCTGATCTCACCCCTCTGCTGCAGAGATCAGCACTCTCAAGTTCCAGGGGTGGGGATTCCAGTGCCTTTGGGAGCAGGTCATTATCTTGCCTACCTCGAAAATAAAGATCCCAGTGACACAAGGGTGAAAGACTCAGCCCACAAGGACAGGAGCAGCATCTTTAACGCTCATGTGTCAGTTAACAGTAGCCGCAGGTACACAAAGCAAACTGGGGAGAGCTAGAAGAAGTGGACAGAGCCCTCTTGCAACAAGGGAATGTTCATCGTTTTCTTGGTAGTTGAGAGCTCAAGCTGGCAAAGAAGTGGTAAAAGTCTAGGTGAACACAGGTGGAGCAGCGGGTGTACGGGCGGGAGTGGGATCAAACCATGGAAGATGCTGGAAGAGGGGAGCAGTGAGTGCCCAACTCTAAAGCTGTTGCTCAGCTCTGAGAACTGATCTGAAAGGGTTGCAAAGTCTATCTCACCCAGCCTGGGTTCTTGTCCCTGATGCCAGCACACTGGACATCAAGGATCTAAGGGCCATTTTTAAACATCCATCTGGAGGCTGGGAGTGGTGACACACACCTATAATCTCAGCACTCTGGAAAGCAGATGCAGGAGGATCACAAGTTCAAGCCCAGCCTGGGCCATTGACCAATTTAACAAGGTCCAGTGAAAATAATAGATAACAAAGGGCTGAGGATGTAGCTCAGTGTGAAGAGCCTGAATTCAATCCCCAGTACTACACACACACACACACACACACACAAACACACTCATCTGGAAAGGCTCTGAATACCTGGGTGTTTAGTCTGGAGTCACATGATCTTTCTCGGTTCTATAAATCACCCCTGGGGCTTTGCAAAGACTCCCACCCTCACTCTCTTCTCTGTCTTGCAGAAAACACCACCCTGCCCACCACCCCGGACCTCACTGGGGAGCTCTGCAATGCATCCTTTGACGACAGCAAGGTGACACTGCTGGTGGTGTACAGCGTGGTATGCGTGCTAGGGCTGCCGGCCAACTGCCTGACGGCTTGGCTGACGCTGCTGCAGGCCATACAGGGCAACGTGCTGGCCGTCTACCTGTTCTGCCTGGCGCTCTGCGAGCTGCTGTACATCAGCACGCTGCCGCTCTGGGTCATCTACATCCGGGACCAGCACCACTGGACTCTGGGCCCACGTGCCTGCAAGGCGACTGCCTACATCTTCTTCTGCAACATCTACATCAGCATCCTCCTGCTCTGCTGCATCTCCTGTGACCGCTTCACAGCAGTGGTGTATGCGCTGGAGAGCCGCGGCCACCGTCGCCAGAAGACCGCTGTGCTAATCTCCGTGAGCATCTTTGTCCTGGTTGGGCTCCTGTGTTACCCAGTGTTCCACATGGAGAACGTGAAGGGGACCTGCTTTGAGCCCCTGCGGATGAATGCCAGCATCGCCGGCTTCCACTACGCACGATTTGCCGTGGGCTTTGCACTCCCTCTCTGCATCATCTCGTTCACCAACCACCGCATCTTCCGTAGCATTGCGCTGAGTGGGGGCCTGACTGCGGCCCAGAAGGCCAAGGTGAAGCACTCAGCCATTGCAGTTGTCATCATCTTCCTGGTTTGCTTCGCCCCCTACCACGTAGTGCTCCTGGTCAAAGCGGCTGCCTTCTCCTACTACAGGGGGGACAGGGACGCCGTGTGCGCTTTTGAAGCCCGAGTGTACACTGCCTCTGTGGTATTTCTGTGCCTGTCCACGGTCAATAGTGTGGCTGACCCCATCATTTATGTGCTGGCCACAGACCATTCCCGGCAAGAAGTTGCCAGAATCCACAAGGGCTGGAAAAAGTGGTCCACGAAGACAGAAGACACCAGGCTCACACAGTGGAAGGACTCTGAGGAGACACGCTCGCCCACGCCTCTCACCCACAACTGTGCATTCCCACACACCTGGCAATGTCCTGGGGCCATAGCCGTCTGAGTGGGGCTCGGGGTGCACCCTGGAAATCCCACCTGAGGAGTTCTGACAAACAGGGACCTCTCTGTCTGCCTCATGTCCTTGCGGCTCCCTTGGCCACCAGCCAGCAGCAGGCCACAGCAGAGTGTGGTTGATGACTACATTTTCTGTGCTTTTCTGCGGGAGTTTCTGGGTGATTGGTGTGGTGTGTCCTGGGGTTTTCAGGGTTCTACCTCAGAAGGACATGAAGGTCACGGGCACCGTCCCAATGCCTGGGCACTGTGGCACCACCAGGAGCTATAGGGAGGAAGAGATGTGGAGTCAGCTGCTTGAACCCCTGCAGGGTGACTGCCTTTCTTTATTAGCCTGAGGTGCTGGTCACCCCAGGAGGGTGTGACAGGCCATGGGCAGCCCAGAGGTAGGGGAGTGAAGAGCCATGCCAACATCTGCTTCACTGCTACGGGGTCCTGGGGCTGGGTCTCCAGACAGACAGCGCAACTCAGGAGCAAGCAGGTGACTTCCCATTCAGCCCCAGTCCTCACCAACGTTGGAACAAGAGGGAGACCTCATGGCTCAGAGTCAGATCCCAGCCCAGTCCCTGTGAGCCTTGTCTAGGCCAGGTCCCTTGCTGCCTCTATCTACCCATCTGGAAAATGGGTCCAATGACACCTACTTCACCAGCTCCATCACCTGTCCAGCCATGCCCAGAGTAAGTCAAGCTCTCAGGTATATAAGGCAGCTGTGGTTTGCTGCTCCATCATCCTGAGAGATAGCAAAAGATACACTGGGAAAGTATGTTCAGAGATTAAAAACACAAGAGTGTGAGTGTGACCCAGCCTCCTTTACAGCTTAGTGCTGCAGGCCTGGCTTTACAGGTAGATGATGGTTTCCTGGGGCCCTGGGGCCACAGCTGAGAGAGGAGTGGGAGCTGTGGGTCTCACAGGGCCAGGAAGAGTGGCAGCCCATCAGGGTCAGGAACCATTCTGGACTGTGGGGCTGGGGAGAGCAAGAGGAGGGCCAGGGATCTCCTGTTTCACAGGGTGGACATCCTGGAGCTCCGTGACTAATGTCACAGACTGGTAATTGGTTACAGAATTGTTCCCCTCCTCCCCAACATTCTTGTAGCCTAAAGCCCCAGATGGCAGTGGGCAGGGTCAGCCCTGGGGCTCAAGACAGGGTCCTTCCACCTCTCCCTGCTCAGGGCATCAAGCACTCTGGCTGAGGACACTGACATCACTGGGCCTCATATAGGGCCTTGCCCTTCCCAAGGCCACATGCTGGGCCCAGTGTCCAGTACTCACAGGAGGGCCTCTGTGTGGGGTGGGGAAGGGATACTGATGGGCCCTTGGCAGGCAGGCAGGAGGGCTGGTGGGCAGGGCTGGATTTCAGGGGGCCCCAGGGGGGCAGGAGCAGCTGGAGGTGGGCTCCAAAACCTCTCACTGGGTGAAACCAGGCAGACCCAGGGTTCCAAGCATGCCCACAGTCCCAGGCTAGGAGGGTAAGGGCTGGAAGCCATTGACCTGAGGCTGGTGCTCCCTGAAAGTCTGGGCCCTCACAGTCCTGGGCCAGCACTGGGTCTCTTCCTTCTCCTGGGTGGTGGGGACCTCATGATAGGGAGGTATCCCTCTCTCAAGGAGATCCTATGGGTCCCCTCCCTCAGGGCCTACTCATTCCCATCATAAACAAAGACCAGAAGCTACAATGGGGGAACTAGATTGAGAACTTCAACATTTATTTCAGTTAAATTATGAAGCACTTGTTCTTTTGAAAAAAAAAAAAAAAAGAACAGAAAATATTCCAGAAACTCTCTGTGCAGCTATGAGTTGGTGGCCAGGAACCAGACAGAGCCAGGTCCCAGCCACCAAGCCCAAGGCTGCTCCCCAGCGTGTAGAAGGGACCCAGGATGCCTGAACTCTTCCACCCTCCCAGCCCCTGGCCTAAGGGCGCCACCCTCTGTCATCTCCAGGGATGTCTTGGGGTGCGTGTCACATGTGGTGACCCAGCAGAGGGTTTCTGGCTCCTCACAGATGCTTGGTCACTGCAGGAGGAGCCCCTCACTTGGAATAGATTGCACTTGTTCATGTCTGGTTGAGCGACGTGGTCCTTTTCTCCTGTGCTGGACTCTGTCTGGACCACACAGGCACTGGTTTCAGGTGTGTAACTGCAAGGATACTCAGCATCACAGGCCAGAAAAGTTACCAGGTGGAAGGAGGGGAGGAGGCTGCAAAGGTGGCTGTGAGGCTCAAGGAGGGTCACCTGGGGCTCCTCCCATGGGGCCTCCAGGCTGGGGAGTGAAGATGTGACACTGGAAATTAGAAAATGGGTGCTCAGGTAGACCGGGGACCTGGATGGCACCACAGGGCATGAGAGCCCTGTGCAGCTCACATCCAGGAAGGAAGATTGGTGCTCACCTGAGTGAGCAGGGTAGGGTGGGGCAGCCACTGGGAAGGACCCGGTAGGGCTCCAGCCACCTCTGTGCTGGCTGAGGGAACCTAGGCTGAGACCTCCAGGAATGGGTGCTGCAGAGCAAGGGCCTGTCATGGCCCAGGGTGGCTGCATCTGTTCTGCCTTCCTGGCCACATGTTCCTTTCCCACGGTGAGGGTTACGGTAGCTTTGTCATCAGTCCTGACCACAAGACTTTCTCATTTTTATCTGACTGGGGGAAGCTCCTCCGGTTAGTATGGAGGTTGCCCAGAGCTGGGGGTGTGGACCTTCCTCCCTTCTGTCAGCCCCTGTCCATCCACTTGGCGTCCACTCCTGGCCCCTTCTTCCTCTTCCCCCTCCATCTTCCTGTCTTCCCCTCCCCTCCCTCTCTCCTCTTCCTTCTCCTCGCCACCTCCCTCCCCTCTCCCCACCGCTTCTTTCCTTCCCCTCACTCCTCAGGGAGAAGTCACATTAGCCCAGGGAAGTGGGCAGGAAAGTGTTGTTGGGAATTCTGGGGTTGCAGTGCCTACAGAGCCACATCCCCTGCCAGGGACCCCATCTGTGGGCGAAAAGGAACTGCTTGCTGGGCACCTGAGGGTGCCAACTGAGTGTGCAAAAGAGGAGCTTGATGATTTCCAGTCATGGGCCTTGATGGCCCCAGCAGTTTGATCTCATGGTGAGGAAACAGCCTAGCTACCTGGGCATCACGTGAGACCCTGAGATCCTCCAGGACTTCCAAAGGGCAGCTCATTCTGAAGATTAATTCCCCCCTCTCCATGCTTCAGATTCTACATGCAGTGGCCACAGTGACTGCCCCCAGGACTGCTGGGGGATTAACTGGAATTCTCTGTGGGTCCCCTGCTTAAGGTCCACAGTAGGGGCTCAGCAAGAAAGCAGGATGCTTGTGTACCTTCCTCAACCAGAAGGATTGTGAGCTGATGTGACAGTCATTTATGAAAAGGCCTATCCTCCCCAGAAGGGGTCCTGGAGGAAACTGGTGGCCTTAGCTTTCTGTGTCACTAGCTCTTTGGCCACCAGGGGGCATCCCTGCCACAGCTGGAGCAGAGGATCCCTGAGAACCCAGGTCCCAGTGGCGCAGCCTTCCAGACCCTCCTTGGATGCTTCTTGCTTGTGGGCACTGTGCTACTCTGTATGTACATTTTTGGTGAATATTTTAAAACACATCAAAATTTCACATATTTGTGGGGTAGGTTGTGATAATTAAATGTATTATGTTTGGAACCTCTGAGTGCCTCTCCTGGATTTGTACAGAACACACAGAAGGTTTTTGAGGCTGACCAACGCGCACTGTGCTGCACTGGGCCACCTCCTCCCATCTGCCTGCACCCCATCCGGTTCCCCACCTCCTTCCCTCCCTTCTCCACCTTCCCGCTCCCGTCCTCCCTACTCTATTCTACACTTCTTTGAGCTCAGGGATGCTTTTATCTGACTTTTTATCTTGGAATAATTTCTAACTTACAGAGAAGTAGTGAGCAGTGCAGTGAGGTCCTGGACATTCCCTTCACACACTTCCCACTCCTGACAGTTTACCAAGGGGGCCTCATTGTCCCCTCCTCCCATAACTTTCTTCCTGGGCCTCTGAGGAGGAGCTGTAGACCTAATGAGCAGGACCTGTAACAGCTCACACACATTGGAAGCAAACGGACTCTCATACAATCAGGGTCAACCTTAAATCAGGAAGCTACCACAGATCCACTGTCTGCCTAGTCCACAGAACACCTGCATTGTACCTCTCAGGGTATCATCCTTCCTGGGTCTTCATACAGTGCTCTCTCTCACATTGGCTCTGTTGGTTTACTATGATTTCTGCAAGGCAGAATGCTTGAGGCCCAGGCACCACTTTCCAACAGCCCCAGTCACTCACAGAAGTGCTGCCCTCCATCCACTTTGCTTAGGCCTCGAGGTGCAGGCGGGTCTGGGCTGACACTTGTGGGATCAGCAGCACCTCCCTCATGTAGACTAAGGTTATCCTGGGAGAAGGGGTGTCATGGGGTACTTGTGTCCCACCCCAGGGCTGGACTATGCAGAGGTGAGGGCTCCAATGCCCCGCAGGACCTGGCACTGGCAGGAGGTTCTTGGGGTTCCTAGGTACCCTGGACAGCAAATGTGAGGCAGGGTCTGGGGGCAGGGTCCATTCGAACAGTGGACGAGGCCCATGATGGGAGACCCACATGGAGGAGAGAAGGCCGGGGCTGAGTCCTGCTTCCCATGGCCCAGGGAAAGGGATGGAAGGCAGGAGGAGATGAGAGTCCAGAACCTGCATCTGCCCACTGGGCTGCTTGGCCCGCTCCTATGTGGGCACAGTAGACAAAAGAGCCAGCCTCTTGCCTGAAACCTGAGAGAGGCATGCACACACTCAGGTTGTGCCATGAGCTGAGAAACCAAATGACTCTGCTTTCTTTCTGAGATGATTCTTGCTATGTTGCCCAGTCCGGCCCCAAGTACCTGGACCCTAGCAGTCTTTCTGCCTCAGCCTCCTGAGTAGCTGGGACTACAGGTTTGTGCGGTATACTTTCCTCTATTAGAGGTAGGATTTATCTGGGTGTGGTGGCAAGGCTGAGACAGGAGGATTGGGAGTTCAGGGACAGCTTCTGCTACCTGATGAGACCCTATCTCAAAAAAGGGGGAGAAGGAAGGAGTGAAGAAAAGGGTTCTTTGACTAGATGACAGGTACCCAGGCAACCTTCCAACCTGGCCCTAGCCCTGGTGGCCAGCATGACACCTGCACATAGCCTCTGGGGCTGTCATTTGTGGCTTCCGCCTTAGGTTTATTTGTGACATATTAACTGAAGTGAACACAGAATGCTCCAGAAGGGACACAAGGTGCAATGACAGCACCATGCGGAGGCCACTAGGTCCCAAAGACTTCCAGAGCCGACCCAGGGCCGTTGGCTACCCAGCCTGAGCTTGGCACCTCAGGGGACTCTTGCTCCCTCAGTCCAGCCCCCTTCCCTAGACATGTCTGGGAGACCCGCTTGGGTCACATTTGCAGCAGCTGTGTGCCATCACCAGTACACCGCCACACACACATCCTCCCGTGGCTGGGAACTGGGTGCTCAGTTAGGGGTTCTCAGTGGGTGGTTTACAAAGAGCAGAGGTCACTGAGCTCAGGCCTGGAGCCTGGCCCAGCCTCTGGTGAGGGCTCCCTGCTGTCACAGGCTGCCAAGTCCCCAGGTGGGCAGAGCATCTGGGGTGGAGCTCACCCAGCGGCAGCGCTTCTCTGACAGACCCTCTCTGTGGTAACTAACCCACTCCCTTGGCAACCACCAGGCATGGATTAACCTGCTTGGGAGTGCAGAGCCCTCATCTCTCAACTCTGCTGCATCGGGATGAGTCCTTCAGTCCTTCGTTCATGTCATAGCAGGACCACTCCAAACTACCTGGGACAAGTCATTTTGTGAACATTATGTGTTCCTGTTGGGTACATCCTGAGGAGCAGACCTGCTGAACTATAGGCTTTGGGCTCTCAGCCCTACTACAACCTGCTATGACAAGGAAAATATCTCCCAGCCTGTTAGCTGCCAGGTGTGTCAGGCATAGTGGTGCCTGCCTGTAATCCTAGCACTTGGGAGGCTGAGGCAGGACAACTGCTGTGGGCCACCCTGGGCTACATAGTGAGTTCAAGGCCAGCCTGCATTACACTGTGAGACCCTCAGGAAAAAAAAGAAAAAAGAAAAGAAAAGAAAAAGAAAGAAAGAAAAGAAAAATGCCAGATGTCAGATGTGCTGAGTTCATGTCTTTGGATAAAGAAGGAGGACAAAAGTCATTATGAGTAGGAAAGGTTTATTAAGAAAGCAACTGAGAGACAAGAGGGTCCTGAAAGTGGGCTGTCAAAGAGGCTTTGTCCAAGGGAATTTTATACAGCAGAATCAGGACGAGGTAGCTAGGTAGCTGCATCTCACACTGCAATCAACCTGTAAGATTACAAGTAAATTGCTTAGCTAAATTGCTCCAATAGGGAACTGAGGCCCATAACAAGGGTATATGGCAGCACTGTTAACTTTAGTTATTTGCAACTTCTAACACAGAAAGGACAAAGGCATTCCTGGAAGAGGATGAGTGCATGGGTCCAAGTGTTCTGATCACCACCTGTGCCAGATGCCCTATCTGGGCCCACTGGACCAGGTGGTGCTAATGACAGCATGATCTCCAGCTGCTGTTTATTTCTAGGGAGGCTTGTGATTGGCTACTGTTGTCTCTATCTTGAGACTGGCTATCTTCAATTTGTCTCTATGCACAATTGTGATGTGTCTTATCCTCCACACTGACTCCCTGGAGGGCCTATCCCTATTAATTTCTGTCTAACTTAGCAGCTTAGAATACTGCCTTGTGTTTCTCCTAAGGGGCTGTCTTAGCTAGTCTTGTTTTTGTTTTGTTTCTAGCTTATGTATCCTAGGCTGGTCTTCAAGTTGCAGCAATCATCCTGCCTCAGCCTCCTACGTGCTGGGCTAGTTTGTTACTTATATATAAGAAATACAATTGATTTTCCTGTACTGACTGTGTATCTGATGATCATGCCCAATTCTTCATTAATTTGAACAGTTTACCTGGAAATTTTTTGGGGGCTTCCTACAATCAAATCTTACCTTCTGAGGTTAATGATGCTTTTAGTTCTTTTGCAATCCTTACACATTTTCTGTCTTACCTTCTTGCACTACTAAACTTCGTAGCACAATGTTGGGTGGTGGGGTGGGATGGGCATCTTTGTCTCATTACTCCTCCCATTTTTACTTTTTCCCCTTTCCTGAAGGTATTTTTCTACATTATTCAGATGAAGGGGGTCCCTTGTGTAGTAAAGAATTTAATTTTGCCTAAAGAGGCACCAGGTACTTGCCTTCAGGTTCTGGGAGGTGACTGATCCAACTGTCTATCTGGGGATCTGGAGCCACACCAGGTGGCCCAATGATGCGATGGATGTAGGGGGATAGAAAGTTCTGGGTCATTCACCCTCAGCTTGACCTTTAGAAGGGCAATCAGTCTGCATGGAGTCTCCCTCAGTGAGACTCTACCAGAAAAGAACCGCTGGAAGCGGTCTGAAGTAGTCTCCAATCCCTGCCCAGTATGCCTCTCCCTTAGCTGATTTGTTGCTTTTGTTGAACTGGTTCTATCTAGTCCAGGCTGGCCTCTAACTTGAGGCAATCCTCCTGCCTCAGCCTCCTGAGTGCTGGGATTTCAGGTGTGCGCCTTCATGTCTGGCAGGATGTTGATTCAGATGCTTCTTCTACACCTGAGATTCTCATTTTTTCCACTAGTGTGATAAAGTGTGTCAATTTTGGAATCCTAAGGCAACCTGGCATTCCTAGAGGAAGCCCAGCTTGGTTGTGGTGAGAGATCTTTTCTGTACTACATTGGATCTGATTTATTAACATTGGTTTGGAATCTTAAAGTAATGCATGCTCTTAAGAAAACAGCCTGTAGGTTTCCTTATCCTTTCCTTGTTTGTGTTAAGGTTATGGTGACTCTAAAGCTAGAAAAAGTTGGAGACTTGTAGCTTGGGCAGTGGCATGCATCTGGGCAAGACAGTGACCTAGTCTTAAAAAAAACTGCACAAGATTGATGTTATTTATTCCACTTGTCCTTTCTATGTATCCTGACAACCCCAAAATCAGAAATCCATGGATCTATTTATATGGGTTTTTATTTTTCTGCCTTTTTTGTCATGTTCTGGCATGCCAGGTAACACAGTATTGAATGCTGGACACACCGAACAGTGCAAGAGTGGAAAACAAACAGTTCTTGCTGTCAGTCTGATGGGTGGAAAGTAGCATCCGACACAGCTCTAATTTGTGGCTATGACAGGCTGAGCATCCTGTCTTCTGCGGAAGGGTGTACGGATTTCCTTTGCCTGCTTTTGGATCTTGTTTTAGTGTGCAGGACTCTGTGTATTATGGAATTGGATCTTTTATGGGGGCTATGTTTGGGAAACATTTTTTTCTCATTAGTGTTTTCACTTGATGTTTGATATGCACGGATTAAATCTTAAATCATACTCACTGGGCCTCAGTATTTTTTACAAGGAACATGGCTGCAATCTAATTGGGTTTTCTGTCAAACTCCCCCTACCATAAAACCTAGGGCCTTCAACTGAGCTACATCCCCAGTTCTTCTATTTTGTGACAGTCTCACTAAATCTCTAGTTGCCCAGGGTTGCTATTTCCTGCTTCAGCCTCCCTAGTGGTGGGATTAAGAGGCGTGGGACATGGCGCCCAGCAGCTTGCTACTTCCGCCACTTCCTACCCGTCCTCCAAGACTACTCCCAACAGCGATTCCTTCCTCCTAGGCACAATTTAGAAGAGCCCCGCAGGGGTCCGCATCAGGCTCAGCAGAAAGCCAAGTCACTCCCACACTCGAACTCCCGGAGACCGCAGGCACGGCCTGGCTTCACCACGTAGGCTAGGCTGGCGCCCGGCCGGCCCGTCGGGGTCTCCGCCTCTCCACGTTCTCGATTCCCTTCCCCGCAAGCGAACCTAGCAACTGCGACGCGACGCGTACCCGCGGAACCCTCGCGTCCCGGCCTAGAAACTCTCAGTGCAGACGCCGGAAGGCCCGGAGGGGCGGGGCGAGGCGG